CCACTGCTAGAAATTGGCCGCATCTGCACTAATATCGTGAAGAAGTTGATTTTGGAAATGGATGATGGTTGTTCGGTTAGTATGAGCCATAATTTTTCCCTTAATTTTTCTCTTTTCCACTAAGACCACGTCTGCACAAAAGCCTTCTCCCCATTTCCCTTTAATTTTTCTTTTGTTCTTATTGAGTTAGTATGAGCCTTCAGATGTTGTTTTGATAATGGATGATTGCAGTTTTTTTTATTATTATTATTTATTTTGCTCATCTTGGGAATTTTGAGACTTTATGATTAATCATTTATTAGTGTGTTGGAAGTTTCTTTAGTTGGTTATTTAAATCTAATTATTGTTATCACGACAAAGTAACAAACACATTTTGGCCAGATGAACACGCCTCTTGTTCAGCTATTTGATGGTTTTAAAAAAACACAAACAAGATTTTTGTTTTTTCAAAAAAAATAAGTTAGCGGGTCGGGCCTGCCTAACCCATGGCCCGGGGCAGGGGCGGGTTGAGCCTGCCCGCCCCTCCAGCACATTTTGACAGCACAATGATGCCCTGGTGATTATGCGGAGGTCGCGGGATATGACTAGGGATGGCAAAACGACCTGGACCCGGCCTGACCCGGCCCGACCCGTAGCGTTTGGGGCAGGCCTGGCCTGCCCTGTTTTTAAAACGGGCCGGGGCGGGTCTGGCCCGTTAGCAAAACGGGCAGGTCCAGGTCCTATCTATTGCCCTGGCCCGCCCTGCCCCGCCCCGCCCCGGCCCGACCTGGCCGGGATGTTTTATATATTTATATTTTATATATATAATATACAATATATAAAGTAATTACTTAATTACTAATTAGGGTTCAGATCTTATGCTTTACCCTTAGCAGTTAGCACTCCGCCTCTTTTCTCATCTTCTGCAATCGTGCGCGCCTCTATTCTCTCCTAATCTCCCTTTTCGTGATCGCGTCTCCCCGTCTTTGAGACACAATCTCTTACCTTTGACTTCTCGTCGCCTCAGACGCCTCGCTGGTTCCGCCGCCTCGCTGGTTCCGCCGCCTCACTGCAGATTTAAGGTAATTATTATTTACTACATTATTACAAAAATTAAAGAATGTTGCTATCTCTTTGAAATTNGGGGTTT